TTATTCTCTTTATTATAATTTTTAAATTTTAGAATACGTTATGAAATTAAAAGGTTTTTTCAATTTCATCCATGTTCTCTTTGTTGCAATTTTTTTTAGTATATAATAGTTTATTAAATTAAAAATTATTTTTAATTCCATCCACAATTGATATTTTCAACTATCCAATTTTGTTCTTATCCTTTTAATTGTTTTTTTTTGTTTTAGATGGAATTTGCAATTTTTTTTTTTGTAATTTCATCATTCTTTAGTTTTCTTTTTATCAATCTAATTTTTTTATTGATGTATTTTTTTTACCTTACAAGATATTTTTATATTGATTTTTTATTATTAATTCACCATTTAAATTTTAATTAGCTGGGTGTTTAGCTTCTTAGTTGAGTTTAGGTATAAATTTTAATTGTTTGTGGGTTCAAAAGATTAACCTTAATTTACAAAGCTAACACATGTTTCTTTGTTTTTTTTTTTTAGCCTTTCTTTCCTTCCGCTAGCATTTTTTTTATTCATTTTCCATGGTATTTTTTTAGTCGTTTTAAAATTAACACAGTTTTTTTTTTTGTTGTTGAATTTAACTTTTTTAAAGAAATATTATTTTTAAATTGAATTAAATTTATTGATTTCATCTTCAAATTAGGTGCTGAGCTCTTGAGTTGAGCCTGTATTAAAAATTTAACGAATTATACATTCGAGAGTTTAATCCGGATTTGCAAGGTTTATTAGAATTTATTTGTTTTTTTCTTTTTTAAGCTTCTTTTCTCCTTTCATGTTTCATCCTCTAATATTTTTTTTACTCTTTTCCTATAAGATTTATATTTTTTTTAAATAACAAGGGCTATCTTGAATCTTTTCTAGTTTTTGTTAAATTTTGCTTTTCAATTAAATTAAATTTACTAATTTTATCATCTGATATTTGATTTGAAACAATACTTAAAGGATTTTTTTTAATTTTTTTTGAAAGTTAATATTTTTTTATTTTTTTACCTTTCTTTCTCTAGAGTTACACTGATATCATATTTCAAGTTATGAATTTAATAGGTTTGTTATGCTCGACTTGAACTTTTTTTTACTGCTTCTAAATTTTTTTAATTTCAAATTAATGATTAAAATCTTAATTTTTTAAAAAAATAAATATACATCTTCTTAATATTTTTCCTGTCACAAAAAAAATTAATAAATTCGTGATATAGCCAGGCCACCCATCTATAATATTCTACTTATGTATACCAAGGTCTATTTTATTTCTACGACATCCCTATTCATTTATTAATGTTGTCCTCATTCGCAACATACAAATGCCAACTGATACTGAGTTATGCAAACCAATTCCCAAATGCCCTTCTTGCGCTCTATTGCATTTATTTTATGTCATGCACGTGCACTAATTTGTGCTTCACTTTTGCTTCAAGACATATAGAACTAGCATTGCTTCGTGGCATGCTTGCGCTACTATCTTTCATGTTTATTTCTGTCATTATTATTCATGATTTATTTTTATTTTTTATTTTTCATACTTCACCACTCGTAACTGTTGTTTGTTGTTTTTTTTTTTTTTCACCAACGCATAATCCATTTTTTATGGTTGGATTTGCTGTTCCGAGTTAGTCCTGATATTTTAATTCATTTATAAATTAACTCAATAAAATATTTTATGTTAGCTATTTTATCATAAACAATACATGGAAAATCACTAAAATACTTTTTTATAGTTAAGATATTGTACACGTAACAAATAATTATTTAATTAATTTTTGTTTTGCATTTTTTTTGGTTCAACATACACAAGTATATTTTGTTGATGTTTTTTTGGTTTTTTTAGCTTGTACACGACTTTTTATATAGAAAAAAAAAGTTAAAAAAAATTATACTAACATGCATAATGGCATGAATTGTAATACTATACAAATCTCGAGTTATTTATTGGAGTTCAAGGCACAAGCTCAGAGGATAAAGATGAATGTGACAAATATTCTTAACAAACTTTATACGAATAAACACGTATGAGAACTGTACCCTTCTGGATCGCGGTTGTGTAAAGCAGAGGGGTTTGACTGTGAAGGTGATGGCGTGTGTTGTGTTGAAAACAAGCAGGATTAAGGGTATGTTATCTTTAAATCTTGGTTTCAGTGTGTCTTTCACTTTTAACTTAAACGTTTGTTTAGTTAACCATGAATCTTAAATTAAATAAAAAGTTTGTTGTGAAATTGAGTCAGAATTTTGCCTTAACAAAAAAAAATCTTGACATATGAGTTTTAACGCATACCATATTAAAAAAAAAAAGTTATTTCAAATCAAAAGTTTATTTCAAAATAGGCTTTTTATTTAATGAAAAATACTCTCTTGAAAAATGAAAAACAAAGATTATTTCAAGACAATTTCTTAACAATCACAAGTTATTTATGAAAAAAAACTTTAAATTATGATTTAAAATAATTTTTTTAATATAAATCATACCAAAAGGTTTGTATATTTTATGAAAAATATTTTCTTAAAAAATAAAATATTTTTTATGAGTGCCTTTTGAACAAAGAGGAAAATTATAATATCAATTATGAAAGCAATAATAATAATAATAATAATAATAATAATAATAATAATTAAGATAATAATAATTATGATGATAACAACATTGTAACATGATGTTATTGTCACATTAACTATGGTGACAATGTTATAAAATGATGGTTGTAATCCTAATTGTTTTAAAATAAAATAATAATGAATACTGTGATGATAATAATGATGTTAAGAAAGTTAGTAGGTGATTGAAAGTATTAATTAATTGCAAGTTTTTGTGGTGAATAAAATAGTAGTGATGATATCTTGACGATGATTGTTGTGATAATAATGGAAATGATGAGCCTCTTTAGAAACTTAGTGTAAATTATATTTATCTAAATTAAATTTTATTTTTGTAAAAGTTAATTTTTTAAAATTATTTTGATATGCTGATATAAAAATAATTTTTAAAAAATAAAAAATATATTATTTTAATATATTTTTAAATAATTGTTTTTTAAAACTATAACTGCTGATACAATTCTAAATAATAAATACACTCAAAGTTGAAGGGTTATGGTGTGAAAGCAATAAAATAAATATAAGATTATAATTATAAGGGCATCAATGGTGGTGGCTGACGTGTAGCTATGGCGGGGTGGTAATAAAGCGGCAGCTATATTTGTAATGAGTTGGTGATTCTAACTGCATCGATGGTGGTAGATGGCATGGGTTAGCGGAGGTGATGGTGACTAAGTTATGAGGTTTGGTAAATATATTACGAGTCAAGTACAAAAAAATATATTTTCTTCAATTTTTAGAGAATATTTTTTTTTAAATTGAGCTTTTATCAGCTGATTGAAAAATATCTTTAACTAATTTGTTTTTAATATTTGTTTTCCATTAAAAAATAAAAAAATATCTTGCTTCAAAATAAAAGAATAGTCTATTTGATTTTACATTTCAAAAATGATTTTGAAAAAAATTAAAAGTTTTTTGTTTTAACTTCAATTTTTTAAATATTTTTTAATCATATTAAAAATAAATTTTTTAAAATAATAATAAAATTATTATTTTAATATATTATTAAATAAAAAATACTTAAAAATTTATTATCACACTTCGAAACTATAATTGCCCGTGTAATTGCGTGAACTTTGAAAATGAAATACCTTGGACAGTGGAAGATAAAGATGGAACACTTTTTATTCTATAGTAGTTTTTGTTTTTTAAAATATTTTTTATTTAAAAATATATTAAAATAAATTATTTTTAATATCAATATATCAAAATAATATTAAAATATCAAAAAAGTATTAAATTAAAGAAAAAAATAAAAAAATATAATTTTTTTTAAAATACTCTTAAAATATAAAAACAAAAACAATGTATCGTTACCTAATTTTGATGGCCTCTTTCCTGGATTTACAAGTGTCACCCACAACATAAATGTGATAAGCATTTATGTCGACACCCATGACTCCAACATGGTGAGCCCATTTCTTGTTTCTCTAGTAATTTTGAGAAAATATTAGATATATTTAATTTATAATTATAATTTTATATCTACATTTGTTTCAATTACTCGAAATTAGCTAACAATTATCTAAATAATATATAAATTAACAAACCGTATTAGATAATTTCAATGGGTTTCCTAAAGTAATCACTATCCTCAAACATTGATATCCGTATTAGTTGTCGGAAGGCTGCAAAAACAATAAGGTGTCGTCATGTATTCATTTTCTTGAATTATTATTTCAATTTTTAATTTGTCTAAAATTAATACTTTCTCTTAACGGAAGCATAAATTGCTCTTTCAAGATATCTAATGCATGTACAAATTATATGTGATAGGGAAAATTGTCAAATCTATCTTTAAGTTTTGTTTATATTTTTAGATTATTTTAATATATTAGTATTAAAAATAAATTTAAAAAATAAAAAAATATTAATTCAATATATTTTTAAATAAAAAATATTTTTAAAAATAACATTTATTTTCTGGACTGCCCTCGAATATTTCATCTTTATTTTTTTTAGAGAAAAATAATAATCCTCCAATGAATAAATATTGTTGGCTTCGAGAGGGGGACAACAACGAGGCGGTGGTCCGGCGACAGCCTCCCATTCAAATCCGGAGACATCTACCTAACTACCTATCATAGCTCGATAAGCAAGACTGAAAAGTTAAACTCAACTCCCAAAATAGCCCCTACACTCATCAATTTTAAAACTCATCGTCGAGAGGATCATTCTCGTAATTTAAATCAAAACGCAGACCGATTACACAACTCGAAATCAGGATTACCTATTTATTGCTTTGACAAGTCCATTGCTACTCATCTCTTGTGTTTTTCCCAATTTACTATTCTTTGCTATCCTAACGAAAATATAAATCCTCCAAGCTCCAAGAATCTTTTTTGCCCAGGATTTATAAAACAATGTTAAACACAACAGAAAATTAGACCCCCCCCCCCCCCCCAAAAAAAAAAAAAACCTCACAAATTCATAAAATTAAATAAACTTCCCCGATCGAGGTGATAAATTTTTAAGTACTTATCATCAAATTGGCTCCGTTTTTTCTCGAGCTGTATGATCGATTGGTTGATTCTAAGGATTTTTTCCGGATTTTTTCTGTAAGTTGGATTCAAGAATTTTGTTTTGGCTTTCTTTCTAATTTTATTGCCTGCTGTAGTTTTAATTCTTTTTTCATTTCTTTTTCCCTTTTCGTGTTGATTTGTTTAGTTGGAGGGAGAGTAAGGTTTTATGTTCCGTTTGGCTGCGGAGAAATCGATCGAATTTGGAATCTTTTTAGTTATTCATGATTCTCTTCTTGTGACATTTGTTGACCGAATGCGAATTTCATTTCCCAATAGCTAAATGGAGAATTGGATTTTATTCTCCTTTTAAGGGGTTTTTTTTGGTCAGTTGATGCTTTATTTACTTGGAATTTATAAATTGAATGCAGGTTCTGCATAATAAAAGAAAACTTATCATTCCGTGCCTTGGCGGGAATAATATATATTCGATCTTGGTTGGAATCTTGAAGTGAAAAGAGAAGAAAGAAGATTAGGGAGTGATTTTAAGGAGGATTTATTGGAATATTGTGATTGTTGAGGTTATTGGTGGATTTGACCAGAATCACCAAATGAATGTTGTTGGGAAAGTGGGTAGTTTAATTTCGCAAGGTGTAAACTCGGTGGCAACCCCTTTTCATCCCTTCGGTGGGGCTGTTGATGTTATTGTGGTACAGCAGCAAGACGGGACATTTCTAAGTACCCCATGGTATGTTCGATTTGGGAAATTTCAGGGTGTTCTTAAGAGAGCTGAGAAGATTGTCCGCATAAACGTCAATGGTGTTGAAGCTAATTTTCACATGTATCTTGATAATTCTGGTGAAGCTTATTTCATAAAGGAGGTTGAGCCTGGTAAAGGAAGTGAGGCAAATGGGGTAATAAAGGATTCTGATAGCATGGCAATGTCGAATGAAGATATCAGTGTTGGTTTTAGTGATGTTGTTGATAATAACGTTGTTGGAATTTCTAGGCTTGAGCATAGTGTTTCCGATTGTAGGGTGATTCAGCTGCGAGAGGAAGATGATTCATTGGGTGCAGCACGACTTCAGAGGGCAGAATCTGATGGTGACCGGAGGTATTATGAACTTGAAGATGAGCAACCCTCTCTGGATGATTCAGTTGAGTTATCAGAGTATGGTTCTAACAGATACGATGGTTTAGATGGCGAGCATCCTGCAATTTCACAACGTTCACATTCAGAAGTGATCCTGGTGAGTGTGGATGGTCATGTTCTAACGGCCCCTGTATTGGAATCAGAACAAAATACCGAGAATGTGCAATTATGCACCCCTCAGTTCCATCTGGGCCGAGGTGATGACACTGAGGAGTTTAATTCAGGTGATGATTCATGGGCTGCTAATTACATCAATACGCTGAATGCATCTACATCAAATGTTGCATCTGATAATGCTTACAGTGCTGGTAATGGTGATAACATTTGCCAACCGGAGGTTTGTGAGGGTGATAACGAACATGCATGTCAAGATCAAGAAATTCAGGACATTTCTAGATCAGAAGGAGATCTTCTGGCACAAAGCGATTCAGATACATCTGTTAGGATAAATAGGGTAGATATTTTCAAAAGCTGCTCGGCGATACCAGAATGGGCCAAACAGGCTGGAATTGCTGATCTTGAGGAAATGGATTCTTCACTTGAGGTGCAAAAAGATTCACGTGAGGAGTCTCCTTGTAGTCCTCCAGCAGCTGATCAAACTACTGATGGGGATCTTGGTGAATTCACAGACAATGGCTGTAATGCTAATGGACTTCATGGGTCACCTACTTTGCTGGTTGAACTCGAAGCAACAGATAAAAATGCTTCGCGGACAGAACATTTAGGTGCTGACAGCACTTGTATTTCTGTTAGCATTGTTAACAGTTCAGATGAGAAGGGTGAAGAGTCTCATCACATATCCACAGTGTGTGTTGGGTCAAATAGCAGTTTGCATAGACCTGTTCCCAAGGATGAGTCAAGTAAAAGCGAGACTGTGGAACTGCAGAGAGCAATCTCCATTGAAGAGATGCAAACTTGTTCAAGCAAAGGTAAGGAGTTATTTGTTGTATTCTGGATCTCAAAGTCTGTAACTGTAGTTTGAGCTTGGTCTGTTTAGAGTGTGAAGCTTTTGTTTAAACTTTTGCTTTCATCATAATTTTTTGTAGGGTTTGAGATCTCCCTGTGTGGGAAGGAACTCCATGCAGGTATGGGCTTGGACGCTGCTGCTGAAGTGTTTGCAGCACATTTTGTATCTGCTGAGGAATTTAAAAATTCTGCAACGTCAATTATCAAGAATGAAAACTTAATAATCAGATATGGACAGAAGTACTTCATGTGGGAAAAGGCTGCTCCTGTTGTGCTTGGAATGGTAGCATTTGGTTTGGATCTACCTGCTGAGCCCAAGGATGCCATTCCTGTGGAACTGGATGAAACAGTTGCACAAAGGGATCATGTTGCTGTGATTAGTTCTGCATCATCTAGCCGCATATGGAGGCTTTGGCCTATTCCATTTAGAAGGGTCCAGATAAGCAGAGAATCATCAAGTGAAGAGTTATTTGTTGATTCTGAATCTGGAATGCAAAACACAAATGTTGAATCAACTTCAGCATCCCACGGTGGGTCTGTGTCTCCTCACAAGCAGGTTATAAGGACAAATATTCCAACTAGTGAGCAGATAGCATCATTGAATCTGAAAGATGGTCAAAATATGATAACTTTCAGTTTCTCGACTAGGGTTCTGGGTACACAACAGGTTGGTCCATATGTAGCATTATTTTTCAATATAAAAATTAATAAATGAGAGCAACTACCAATTCATGTTACTCATTTTCAGCTGCTAAGTCAAAATCATTTTTAACAGGTCGATTGTCATATCTACTTGTGGAAGTGGAATGCAAGAATTGTAATTTCAGATGTGGATGGAACAATTACCAAGTAAGGCTCCTGACAGCCCAGCTTGAATTACTTGGCTGAAATATTTGATACCGAATTGCATTGTGGACATCGTGATTGTGCATGTATCATTAAAGTTTACTGAATGGTGGAAACTTAATGGAATGAATTTGGGCATGATCTTTTGAATTGAAATATTGAATGTGTTTCACTTTGTGTTAGATCTTAATAAAATTACATTACTAACCCTCCTATCACTTTCTGAATGAAGTGCAATATGACATTTCCTTGTAATATGTCAACGTGATTTTGTTTTGCTACATGATCTGTCTCTCTCTGTGCGCCATATAAAGCTTAATGGAGAATATGTTTTATTATAACGATAATAAACCTACATCATGCTAACATATAGTTTATCTGCTAACAAGCCTTATTTTCATAGTCTAGCCTCAGTGTCTCAAGCTAAAGTGACATGGTTAAGGTAATAGCTTATTGAAAAATAAAAGGCAAAACGGAAAATTTCATTTCTTATGGGAATAAAAAGCTCATCCTCCATGATTAATTTTGTCACAGAGCATCCACAAGCATTCCTAGCAATGATACAGTACAAACCGATCAACTGTAAATTTGTACTTTAGGTTTTCTTCGGTTTATTGTAGATTTGATTGTGGGGTATTAACTTGATAATTCCTGCCAGGTCTGATGTTTTGGGTCAGTTCATGCCCTTGGTTGGAAAGGACTGGACACAATCTGGAGTAGCTAAACTTTTTTGTGCCATTAAGGTATCATTCTCCTTTCAATCTTTGCTAACCAGTGGTTGCTAATTTTTTTTGCAAAATGAATTTTCAATGCTCTGCCAATGTGTGAACAATATTTGAAAGTGAAGGAAATTTTGTCTAAGGGAAGTATGTTGTGTATTTAGTATATCATATACTTCTAATTTTGATACAAGAACTGTCTTGTTACATGTCATCACTTGTGTCAATAACAAAACTGATCATCAATCACAAACTACTAGGGCCAGCTTCATGGATCATTTATTTGGGCTAAAGTTTTTAACAAGAATAAAAAAGACGCATAACATCTGCTTACCGTGTTATGACCCTATTCCTTTAGTCCATCCTCCTTATGCTAGATTGAATTTCTATGCTGTTTGTTTATTTTGCAAGCAGACTTTCTAAATATCAAATTCTAAAGGGACGTATTTCATGCACAGGGCTTGCTACTTAAACCAGTAATAGTAAAGTGAAATGTAATTCATGCGAACAGCACATGCTACCCATTTAAGCTTTAGTAATTTAATCTGTTGATTATTCTGTTTCCTTGCACCTTTTTTTTAACAACAAATGTTATCGCTATGCATGGTGTTTGGATTTGCTCCATGTTTTAGATCATTGAATTGCATTGGGCATGTTATGAACAAATAGTGTTTTTTTAGTAAATGGACATTAAATATTTAATTATGCATTTATGCAGGAGAATGGATATCAGCTATTGTTTCTGAGTGCACGTGCAATTGTTCAGGCATATTTAACCAGAAGTTTTCTTTTCAACGTAAAGCAGGTATAAATATTGATTCCTTGTTTACTTATTTTAGCATTGGGTGTGGGAGGTTCTTTGGCTTTATTGATGACTAAGCTACTAATAGTCAGATCCAGAGGAATCAATGTGCTAGAATTTGTTGGCACTAAGATTGAGTTTCTAGCTTGCATCACATATCATGCAATATTTTGAGTTCTGATGAAGGGGCTCATTCCTGATCTTTTCTGAAACCAATATTCTTTCATGATTCATATCATATCATTGGCTGTCCTGTCTTGGTCACTGTCTTTTCCCTCTTGCGCAGTCTGTCTCTTCTGTTGCTTTATACTGGGTTCACAGAGGTTATAGCTATGATGCTGCTGGATTGCATTGCATTTTACTGATTAGTGGCCTTTTATTCTGCTTGCAGGATGGAAAAACCCTACCAAATGGACCTGTTGTTATTTCACCTGATGGATTGTTTCCCTCATTATACCGAGAAGGTAGGGTCTTCTTCAAAAACTATCAGTTCTATGGAATTGCTTTATCTTCCAATAAATTTTATGATACAGTTATTGATGATTCCATCTTCATAATGAGGAAATCATGGAATGTGCAGAATCTAAATGTTGAAATATGCATTTGTGTGTGGGGGTGTGCACATAATGGGTGTTAAAGTGCATGAATATTTGATTTTGCACTGCTATAACTGGACATCAATGACAACATTTCATATCCCATTCTTCCAAAGTGAGAGAAGAGCTACGATTAAAAAAAAGAGAACAGCAAGAATAAAAACGTGATTTGCTATTTCTGCAACTAATAAAGCAGTTCTGCACTTTCAGGTGTGGCGATATTGTACTTTTAGTTGTGTTACTTCAGAAACATGAATTTTATGAGCCTGGCCTCAGGGTGCCTCCACCATTTTGAGGCCATGCACCATCTGTTGGTCCATTCACAATTGCATTATTGACCCTTTGGTGGAAAAATCTTACTCCCTCCATCTCAGTTTGTTTCTTTGCTGTTTTAATTTGTATCCACGCTGCCAGCTTGATATAGTCTGCATCTTCTACGTACTTTATATTCCACATCTTTTTCCCATTTAAATGATACTCTGACTCATCTCTGATATATGTTCTTGCTTTGCATGGTTATCAGTAATAAGAAGAGCTCCTCATGAGTTCAAGATTGCGTGTTTAGAGGTAATTCTGAAAGAGCAAAACCACTATGGACGTGGAATCACTTTTAGTGAGCATTTGCATCTCATTCCAAACTAAAAATAAGCCCTGAATTTCATGTTTTGTAGGATATTAAAAGACTCTTTCCTACTGATTGCAACCCATTCTATGCGGGCTTCGGAAATAGAGATACCGATGAGCTTAGTTACCGAAAAATTGGGATCCCTAAGGGCAAAATATTTATTATAAACCCAAAGGTTTGGATTTTTGTTACTAATATTCCTTTTTGATGGCCTACCATGTAGGATTTACTTCTACTGCTTTCTTTTTTATTGCTAATAACTTCTCGTAAACTGACAGGGTGAGGTGGCCATTAGTCATCGCATCGATGTGAAATCCTACACATCTTTACACACGCTGGTCAATGATATGTTCCCCCCTACATCGTTAGCCGAGCAGGTAAGCATATACTTAAGCGAACTCACATTGTGCAGTATGAAAAGGGTGAAAGAAAAGAAATAAAAAGGGTCAAGACAGGACACAGGATGAATGTTCACATGCTCCAATACTGGTTTTACTCCACAATATGTTGAATGATCTCGACTCTCTTATATGTGCAGGAAGATTACAACTCATGGAATTTTTGGAAAGTGCCACTGCCAGATATTGAGATTTAGTTTATCTTACACAGAAATGGTTTCCTTGTACCAACAAGATGATAAGTGGATTGAAATGTCCACAAAAGTACAGATACGATGAAGATTCTTCCATTCGTCTCAATATATATATATTTTTTTTGCCAGAAGTGATGCTGTGTAACTGTGTTAAACTATTTCATTTCGCAGCCCTGGTGTACGATTTGTAAGCAATGCATCCTGTATTAGAAGTTAAAAGAGGTACTTTAAAAATTCCCATGTTAACAAAAGCTTCTGTGATTTTGGTGATAGCGTTTCCATTGTTGCTTCTACCTGTACATGCGGTCTGCCATTTCTTGGCTTTTGAGTTGCAATCGGAAAAGCTTCTGGCTTCTTACATTGCTTGTTCTCATTTGTACTCTAATTACAATTACATTGCAAAGAAAAAAAGGTCTTTTAGTCTGGTACTGTTACTGGATTTCCTTTTTTGTCGATTGGATTCTAGTATTTTTTGGGTTGATGGTATCTAATATTTGTATATTATTAAAAATTAAAGGTTTAACTTAGATTTTCAAATTTAACTAGATGCCGACAGTTTAAGAAAAAAAAAAACTGAAACCAAAAAAACATGTTTTTTTAGAATTCGCAAGAAAAAAGTCTAAAGATCAAGATTTGAATTTTTTTTTTTTAATTTGAGATGACTTTATTTTTAGACTTGTTTTAAAGTTAACGATTTATTGATTTCATGGGGGTGTTTTCAAGTATTTTCACGTTGAAAAAACAGTTGAGAATTTTTTTTTTTTTTTTAATCCAAGTAGTCAAAACCTGACTTTTTAAGCTCCTGAATTATTTGACGACACATTTTTTTTTTATCTATTTAAAAAGAAAAGGAAGGCTAGGCGGGCTTTGGCTTTGGAGACCCTTCCAAGCTTGGCCTGGCCTGAAGACGGCGCATTTTTATAGGAAAATTATATGGTGCTCCAAGAGTAAATATGTTTAGTTATTTTATAAACTCATATTTTGAAGAGAGAAAGAGAGATGATGAAATAGAAAATCAAATTGCAATCTCATGAAAAAATTATAAGAACCCTCTTTTTTATTTCTCTCTCATCCTTGTGTTTATCTTAATTGCTGTGAATCTCGTCAGTACTCAGTACCGTAATCTTATAGCAATGCTTGGATAAAGAAAGCTTGTATTTCCTCGGCAGATTCAAGTTTATTGAGAGTATATAGGCACTGAAATATCACTCGGGAAGTCTGTAGATCTTCTCCTCTTTTGATAATGAAATGCAGATACCATAACCCTAAGCAAATGTAATCACAACACTGAAATACCCAGATGATTATTTGCATTTCCGTCCTCTTACAGTGGAGTGGGCTATGTATTGTTAGTGGCTCTGTTGAAGAAACACTTGAGTTTTTGATTGGAAAAAAGATGACTCCATTAGAAACACTACTGGGTCCTTGCAAGTTGCAACTTCCTCTTTCTGTGTTGATGCGAGGGGAGGCGCAAGGGTCCTCAGATCAAACGAGGTGTCTGTCTGGCCTGGCATTGCAGCTAGCCTGGTCGTAATAAAGGATTCCGATGCCTCGCCCTCTCCAGTAATGGGATATTGACATTTGCTTCCATGAAGAAGATTGAGGTGGACGTGGACCGTGAGATTTATTGCTTTTTTTTTTTCATGGAACAATCATTGGAAGGAAGAAGCACTCATGAATTGAAACTTTCGACGGTACAAATAGCTAGGGGGTCTATAATTGAAAAGAAAAGAACTTTCAGCTAGCGGTACCGTTAAAATCCACTTGGAAAGGCAGCTTCCAAAAGGGACATCCCACTGGGCTTGCCTTGCCTTGAAACTTGTTTATCTCTGCCGTGTGGCATGATCTCCGGCTTCCTTTTACTAACTGCCCCCAGTGACTGACTAATCTTGCGCCAGTGTGCATGGACGCCGTACTATTCACACCCCACGGCCAGGTAGGTAAAAGTCCCGTTAGTGTGAAACGTGAAAAGGCAAAGAAAAGGTAAACTCGAGTGTGGTCGTCAGAGGATCATCACGTGATCTTATGTGCTATGGTGCATCACGACAGGTTTATCTCATGCAGGGAATTATTCCCCTGAGCATCATGTCCAATCCAACTAATCATAAATAGATTAAGGCGGCAGTTTGTGAATGCTAACTGCTAATGAGACCAGTTATTAAATTCATACAGCATTACCATTGAAAACTTCAATAATTTATAGATTTCACTTTTAAGTTATTTAATTGAATTTTTTTAATATAATAATAAAATCTTGATAATCATAAGTCTTATTATTTTTATTTATTTAATAAAAATTAAATATAAAATAATATGAATATATATAAGTTTTAAACTTCAAAGATTTTTATTTAAAAAAATGTGTTAGATAATAGTATAAATTATATTTTAAAATTTCATTCAATAATTTAAAATTGTGTAAAATATTTTTTATATGAAAAATATATTAAAACATATATTTAAGATTGTTACTCATAGTGCCACGGAGGGTTTGAGTGTTAGAAGAAAAGAAAGCGTAAAAATCATTAATCTGGATATGAACTTGATAAAAAGTAATGTAATTTCAATATATAAACAATGATGAAAGAACAAAAGGAGAGAAAATATAATTCAATCTTATCTTCATTAAACACATCGAGACATCTAAAAATCGAGGTAAAAAAGAGATCGAAAGAGGTCGCAAACCCCCGGGGGAGAGGGTGTGGAGGTAAGAAGGGAAGAAGACTAGAAGGAAAGACAAAGCCACTCGTTTATCCAAGCATCGGATGGATATTTTGCTTTCTTCAATGTCGTCATTGTTTGGACCTTCTGGTTGTTCCTAAGGAAGTCAAATGGCCCCATGTTCGAGTTCCAAAAATAGTAGCCATAAGCGAAGACTGAAAGGGAGATTTGTTGAAAAGCCTCTCCTTAGTTTGACCCAGTCAAACGAGGATCCATGGCCATAGATTATACTGCCCCATAACAGTTATCTTTGGAAATATAAAAATACTAAAATGTAGGTGCTAGTATAGTAGACCTCTGTGACTCTCTCTCTCTGTCTCCACTATTGAATTGTGAGTGCAAAAAACCAGGTTTTGAGATGTGCACTGGCCTTTTCAAATTTAAACTTTTGTTGCAGAGAAGCTTGTGGATGTTTCAGAGCTGTTCCACATTGTACAAGTATATTGCTACATTAAACTAACCAGTTTCTTTTGGCATCGTGTGTATTTCTTATTATTTCTTAAGGAACATCCATGTCTCATGTTTTCTGAGAGGAGAACTCAAATTCATTGGCTGTGAGATGCACACCGTAAAAACCACAAACCCCACCACCGTGTAGCGTCGGGGCTGGTGTGGATGAAGGACTCCTACGTTCATAATCCATCGAGGAGTCCTAAGTAGATTCACCTTCCTGATCAAAATCGCTTAACATAATGTGAAAGCAGTGAAGATTCCATCTGGGACCTGATCTGTTTGCCGGTTCTAGCTAGCACAGTACTATTGTTTCCTTCAACGCTTTTGAAACTTTCATGTTGCATGTCCTACTTGCATTGAAGCTTTCAACAAAACCAAGACCACTGTCACCATCTTCTCTTCTTGTAGTGACAGATTCTCACCTTCTGAAACAAAAACCTGTTGTAAATTCAAGGTATGTTTACGGCAGTGGATGATTCATGCATGGATGACTAGAAAGAACATGCATGAGGAGCTCCAGAAAGGCCATCCACTTAACTACAATCCACGCATTATTGAAATCTGATAAGGTGGTTCAACCTCCATGTAAGCTCACTAAATGTCAAAAGTTGGCCACTTCCAACAAAGAAAATGAATCCATGCTATTGTTCTAAAGTAAAAAAGAAGAGAAAATTAGCTGGCAAGCAAAGAAACAAGAAACACGGAAACATTACCCTCCTGCGTGTCCTTTATTAGCACCATAGTATAAACATGGAAAAAAATGCAATTGCCATGCTACAATATTGTGATTTTAATGTAGAATTTGAGTACAAAGGACCGGTAAAGTGTAATTTAATAGCACAAAAAAGGGTGTAATTTATAAGAGAACTTTATTTTTCTCGATAAAGAGCTACCATCTTTCACCCCCTTTCCCCTGAGAAAAAAAGAGAGTAACTTCATAGGATCCACATAAATCTTGATGCAGGAGTATCAATGCATATGGGTCAGTAGCTGACTGCTTACCAGGGGAAAACTCCATTTATTTTCTGCATTTTATTATTTGGAACTATTCGAGATAATAAAAAAGAAAAAAGAAAACGAAAAATCTGACAAATCCTTGCAATAAATTTTTATTTTCTAACTTGGCACCTTCTTCTCTTTAAAGGATGCTCTGCCCCCTTTCTTGCTCCATCAAGCTCACCTCCCCATAAGCATCTTTCCCTCAAAAACAACACAGACACAAAGAGTTCTTAGACAGTATGCTACATGAAATGGCTACAGACCAATCTGATGACTACATTGACATGGAGTTGAGCTCCTCTTCAAGCTTCATTTGTTACTCCATGAGCTCTCCATCACGAAGCAGAGAGTTCGAGTTCCAAATGTCTTCAGTTTCTCATGGTAGAGAAACCACAACATCCTCAGCTGATGAACTCTTCTACAAGGGAAAACTCCTCCCTCTCCACCTCCCTCCTCGCTTGCTAATGGTTCAAAAGCTCCTCCAAAACCCCACCACCACTACCTTAAACAATAAAACAGAAGAAGCCTTTGCTGAAAACTATGCCATTCCCTTCATTAATAGCTCCACTACACCTTCCACTAATACCAATACCCCATTGGAATCTTGCAATATCTCACCGGCAGAATCTCGCGTGATTAGCAGTGAACTAAACCCAGATGAATATTTCTTTGAATGGCCAACTGAAGCTAACAGTTTCCTTGGAGATCATCAAAAGAAGTCATGGACTAAGAAGCTAAAACAATCCTCACTTGGTCAAAAACTCAAAACTTCAAGAGCATACCTAAAGTCTTTGTTTGGTAAGTCTGGCTGCACAGATGAATCCTGCGCTGAAGCAGCATGCAATACAGAAGAAGAAGCTGTTTCAAAAGGCCAGGACTGTATGATCAATATGAAGGTACCAAAGAAGAATCCATATGGAAATATTGATAATGGCAGATACAAGATATCAAATGCCCTCAAGAGAAGCATTGAGAAAGAGATGGCTGAAGACCCTTTTCGTTGTCAAAGGAGGTCTTTCTCAGGGGCAATTCAATGGCATTCTACAACTAAGTCTTCTTTATCCTCATCCTCATCCTCATCTACGTCCATATCCTCATCTGGTTCTTCTTCTTCATCATCATCATCCTTTTCATTTAGTTCAAATGGGTTCTGTGACTTACAGTTGCTCAAGAGAAGTAGCAGTTCAAATTCAGAGTTCGAGAGTTCAATTGAGGGAGCGATTGCTCATTGTAAAAGGTCACAGCAGCTGTTTAG